TAAAAATTTTTTAAAAAAATTAATAGTAGTGAAAGTATATCTAGGAATTCCTCTGGAACAGTTCAGGGCAGTGTGGGGCCCGTTTGGTTTCAGGTAGTTCCTTGTTTCAGCTTCTATTTCTTCTCAAGGTCTCTAGGCCTCTTCCAGTGCTTAGTCAATGCTAACTACAGGGTTTTAATCTCTTGGACCTGTCAGTTCCTGAGTGGTTCCCTGTTTTTTTTTTTACTTCTTCTGTTTGCCAGTCTCTTCAGTGTCTGCCCTGACACAAGGGGGAGAAGACCGTCTCTTATTTAAGTTAACATGATCGGTTCTGCTGTGGTGGGACGAGGGGTACACTGCAAACAAATGTCATTGGCGTGTGTGGGGAGTGCTTGCAGTGTCTGAGACACACTGGGTTTGCTCCTACTCACAGTGTGTGTGCTTTCCCTGTGTACAGTGCTCAGGCTGCAGGTTGCTCTGCAGGGGAACTGTCCAAAGCAGGCCCTGGGTTGCGTGCCCTTCTCAGATCTAAGATTCTCGGGTTCAGATACTGTTCAGATTCTCAGGTACTCCACAAAGGAACAGACTCAGTGGGCATGCATTTTGTGCCCTTCCAGGTTTTAGCAGCTTGGGCAACCAGGTGTTTGGCAAATGCAGTGTTTTCCAGGTGGGTGGTGCATCTTGAGGTGTCCCTGGTCCCAGCTGCTCAGTCCTGGGTGCACCACAAGACTACCTTCTCAGGTGTTGTTCCATGTGTCTTCTCTGGGGAGCTGTTCTCTGTCTGCAACCCTCCTGGCATATGTCAACCGTCCAGGATCCCAAGAGTTAGTTAGCAAGTGGGAGCCTGTTCATAGTTTTGTGGAGCATGCCATCTATGAGGCCAAGATGGCCCCATGCCTTCTGGCTTTGGTTGTTGCCAGCCTGTGTCTGCTTCGGTGGGGGGGCATGGACGTGTCCACAGCTGGCTAGCTCTCCTTTGGTATTTGCTCAGTTCTTTGTTCTGTGAACAGGTCAGGCTGTGCCTCAGGTTAGAGTTTTTCAGGGGAAAGTTCTCTCCTTTTTTTTCCCCTTTCTCTGGCTGTACCACAGTTTGGGTTGCTATCTCACGTTAGTTCTCTCAGATTGTCCTCAGGGCATTCATGCCCAGTCCTTACCCTAAGCATGCATTGCAGGCCTCCCTGTTCAGCTCCCACTCGCTGGTGGCAGATGCAAGTGTCTTGGGCTACTTGTCCGCTGGGAGTTAATGGCTAGGTGCATATTTTCTGTTTTTTGTTTTTTTCTTCCCAGTTATGTTGCCCTCTGAGATTGCCAAACTCCCCACAGACCTGCCCATGAGAGGGTTTCCTGGTGTTTGGAAACTTCTCTTTCTTGACTCCCTCCCTGGGCTGGGTCTCCATCGCTAACTGTTTTTTCTCAGTTTTTTTCTTTTATATTTTATCCTACCTCTTTTTAAAGCGAATGCACTGACTTTCTGGGTGCCAGGTGTCCTCTGCCAGTGTTCAGAAGTTGTTTTGTGGAGGTTGCTCAGTGTTCAAATGATCTCTTGTTGAATTTGTGGGGGAGAAAGTGGTCTCCCTGTCCTGTTCCTTCACCTTCTTAGGACCACTCTGTTTCCAATGTTCTTTGTGGGATCTTGACTTAGTTCCTTGACTTCGGATTGAATCTAGACCTGCAGCAGTAAAAGCACTGAGTCTTAACTGCTGGATCACCAGGGAAGTCCTATTCCTAAGTTCTTTTAAAAGTAACCCATGATTTTTCATCTTTGTATATTAATTTATTGTTGTTATGGAGTTACATATAACATCATTAGAATATTTTATGCCAAACTGATATGAGCTTAGTTTTAAATCACATGCAATGTCTTACTCTTTTTCTTTTTTATTTTAAATTGGAGGATAATTACTGTCTTGTGTTGGTTTCTGCCATACATCAACATGAATCAGCCACAGGTATATACATGTCCCTGCTGTCTTGGACCTCCCTCCCTCCTACTTCCCACCTATCCTACCCCTCTAGGTTGTCCTCCTGGCTATCTGTTTTACCTTTCATTTGTATATGTTTTCTTGCTACTCTCCCCATTCATCCCACCCTCTCCTTCCCCTTCCCCATATGTTTATGTGTGTATACAGTACATCTTCCTTATTATTCATGTTGATGGACACTTAGGTTGCTTCTGTATCACAACTGGTAAACATCAAAAGCACAGACTTCTTTTTTTAATTCATTTATTTTTGTTTGGAGGATAATTTCTTTACAGTGTTGTGATGGTTTCTGCCATATATCAACGTGAATCAGCAATAGGTATAAATATGTCCCCTTCTTTAGTAAACTCCCTCCCACCCCAACCCACCCTTCTTGGTTGTCACAGAGTACCAGTTTTGAACTCCCCTAATCATATAGCAAGTTCCCACTGGCTATCTGTTTTAGGTATGGTAGTGTATCTTCCTGTGCTCATCTCCTGATTCATGCCACCCTCTTTCTTAAAGGTCTATTTGTAGAGTTAATGGCTGTTGAGATGATAGATAAATTATATCTTTGTATATGATATTTATTATTAATTCTTACATAGTGGATATTTAGATTCTGTGCTCCAGAATTAAGTATTGCAGTTTTCTTTGTCTATATTCTTTCCTTTACCAAGAGAGCAGTACATTTTCAGAGATATTTTTTTGCTATGCACTGTCTTTTCAGTTCAACTTGAAGGATTTCCTTTAGCATTTATTTATAAGACAGGTATACTGATAATGAATTCAAGAAGCTTTTATCTGTGAAAAACCTTCATTTCTTCATGTTGAAGGTATTTTTTTTTCTTTTTTTTTCCCCATTTATTTTTATTAGTTGAAGGCTAATTACTTTACATCATTACAGTAGTTTTTGTCATACATTGAAATGAATTAGCCATGGATTTACAAAGGTATTTTTAAAGTATTTTTAAAGTTAGTTAGCTTGGTAGTTTTTTTTGCTTTAACGCTTGAGTGTATCATCCTATTGTCTGTTGGACTGCAAGATACCTGATAAGAAATTCATAGGTAATCTTATAGAACAATTGTTGTTATGTACTGACTGTGTTTCCTCTTGCTGTTTTAACATTTCATGTCTGCCTTTAACTCGGATGGTTATTTCATAATTTGTTTTGATCTCTTAGGTTTTCCTAGTTGTAAATTTTTGAGCTTCTTGTGTATATTCATGACTTGTTCCAGTCATTAGCTCTTCAGATAAACTCTGCCCCTCTCTTCCTTTCTGGGACTCTCATAATGTTGATTCTAGTGATGTATTTTAGGTTATTTAGTTCATGTTACTTTTTTTTGTTTTTTCTTTTGCTTCTCAAAGTCAGTAATTTAGATTACCTGTTTTCAAGATTTGTTAATCTTTGCTGACACTGTTCAAATTTGCTGATTTATTAATCTAGTTAGTTTCCCAACTGTCCTTGCATTTTCTTGCTTTAGAACTTGTATATAGTTGTTTCCTGTTTATTTCCTGTTAAAAAAGAAATTATTTTTACAGTTGGTTCTGTTTTGTTTTAGAAATTCTCTATATGTAAAGTCTAAATTTTTTTTATGTATGATCTTCCTAATATTTTTAGGTCTCTGTTTCTCCTTTAGCTCTTTGGAATTATTTAAGGCATTTGCTTTAAAGTCCTTCTCAAGTAAGTCCAGGGCCTCTTCGTTTAGTATCTTGGGGTTTATATTGTTCTCTTACATGGACTGTAATCTTACTTCCCCGTATATTTATAAGCCTTGTTTTATTTAAGATTGGGCATTTGAAGAAAAGAAAAAAGGCCTAAAAACAGGCATCTCTTCTAGTCCTGAAAAACTTCAGAAAGAAAACATCAACCTGGTATCTAAGCTTCATCTTTCCTGAAGCTGTATTCTTTTGTATGATTTGTCTGTGTACACAACTGTTTTATGTCTTAAGGTCCCCGAGTCTCACTCTTGGTTCTTTTGTGACTTAATTTTATTATACTCCTCTGCTTATAATCCTTTATCCCTCAGGCACCCTTAGCCTACAGTCTTTCTGAAGCTTTTATTGACCTGGTCTCACACAACTGGTTTCAGACATCTTCAGCCTCATAGTACAACTGTGCCACAGTTCTGCAGGTACTCCGAGGCCAATAAGGCAGAAACTAGTCTCTTGAGCAGCCCTAGCAGCCCTGAGACAAGACAGACCTTTGAAAACAAGGTCTGTTTGTTTCATTCTGTCTCATAAGGGGAACTGTAAATTGATTGGCTTCTACTTGGCTATGATGTACTGGGTGAACAAAAATGCCATAAAAGTTTTTTCTCTTTTGACTGTAACTTTGTTTTGTTAGTATTATCCTTAGCTGCTGCTTTGGTTAGAATGTAACCTACTTGGTATTCTGGAACGTAAAAGTCGCCCATTTTTACTAACTTTCTTCTTCTTTTATATTCTTTAGAATTGTATTTTTTGTTCATATTTAGGTGGTTTTGTTTTGGAAGGGAAGCTTTAGTTATCAGTCCAGTGTGGTGTTTGACTACGCTATTGAGAGTAATCTGTTTATAGTCTGTCTATTCTAGTTCTTCACTGTTTTCTCGTCATTTATCTCCCTTTAAAGCTATTATAATCTATTGAGGTACTATAAAAGACAGATTTTTCAAGGGAAAAATCAGTAATGACTTTTTTGTTTTAAAATAAGTCAATGTGTGTTTTTCTTTTTTATTTTTGTCTTGGGACATTATACCTATGGGGACCTGAAGTGCTCCTGTTTCCTAATTCTGAATGGGTAATTCTTTTGTGTTTCTTTTTTTTAGAGAGACATTAGTATATCTGTTATAGCAACTTCTTGTTTGTTTGTCTTGTCATTCGTGGTGGCCAAAATCCATGTATGAGGGTCTGGGATTCTAAGAAGGTAATATACAGACTTTTCTTTATAGAACAGCCTGTTATAGGAACAACTTTGAATTTAGGGGAAAATGTAGTAAGAACAGTTTTGTCACAATTTTACATTTATGCTAATGAAATGGATTGAAAATTCATAATTTCTTTTATTTTTCATTTTGCAGTTTAATTGGTTGGGGTCAGATAAGAAGAGGAGTAACCATCAAGCCAACAGTAGATGATGAATGAAGATTATCAGTTAAATAATATGTTTGGATGAAGTCAGAATTTCTCTTAACAACCTAGTGGTATAATTTCAAAGCAGTACCAGCAAAATACATTTCATTTCCTTAGTATAGCTGTTAAAGTTGTTTTCATTTTTTTCTGATGAGAATTAGTTTTTATTCTAAAATAAACAATAGGGTCTATGATAAATGTCAGAATTAGCATGTTGATGGGTTCAACGCACATTTTAGCAATGTCACTTTTGTGCATTAGTTCAGGCTTCAAATGAAGCTGCTGTTAAAAACCAGCATTTGCTAGTGTATGCATACCACTGAACCTGTTCAAAATAAAGTTTTTCTTTTAGTTTTTCATGATTTGCCTTTGAGTATTTCTGGGGGCTGTGACACCATTCAGAACCTGTGGACACAGTCTCCTTCAAAACCAGGTTTTCTTTTTTATCATATATTTTATGTTGCGTTTTTTTTAAAATGTAGAATGAGAGTTAATAGATTCAAATTGAATTATCCCTTAAAGTAAGGGGTTCCCTGGTGACTTAGATGGTAAAAAAATCAGCCTGCAGTACAAGAATTCAGGTTGGATCTTCCCTGGGTGGGTAAGATCCCCTAGAGAAGGGCATAGCAATCCACTCCAGTGCTTTTTCATGGAGAATCCCACTGACAGAAAAGCTTAGTAGGCTATACAGTCCTGTGGGGTCGCAAAGAGTTGGATGTGACTGAGTGACTAACACTTAGAGCATGAGGGATTAATTACATGGACAGACCTTTCTCATTCTTTACTATTTTCCTAGACTGAAACACAGGAAGCTTAAGCCAATTTTATGTTTGATCCCAGTTATTTAGTTGGTAGTTATGATATGGATTCTAATTACTAGTCTTTTATTCCTATCAAGTAGCATGTTTCTTTTTTTTTTTTTTTTTTCCTTTTTGCTTCTTCGTCAAAATACTTACTACAGGGGCTTCCGTGGTGGTCCAGTGGTTAAGACTCAGCACTCCCACAGCAAGAGGCATGAGTTCAGTCTAAGCAAGAAGTAAGATCTCATATACCTCATGTTGTGAAAAAATTCATTATAAGTAATAATTGTTAAAATTGGCATACTCATTTTAATTTAAATTTGAAAAAAATTAGAGCCTGCAGAAGACACAGTGCTGATAATATAAGCAGTTTGCAAATAATGATGTTTCTTTAGCCCAGATACATTTTAAATTGACTTAAGTAAATCATGTTTAAAAAGTGATAATTTGAGATAGAGTAGGCTGGGAGACTTAAATGTATTGCAATATTGAATATGTTTTCAAAGAAATACAAAGACAATAAAACATTTAACGTGATGAGGCAGATGAGTCATAAATTTAAGATCAAGAACAGGTTTATCTTTGAGAAAAGTACATTCAGGTCTAAAGTTCTGCTTGTGATTTCAGTAGCATCACTGAGCTGGTGAAGTCAAAAGGGATTTAATTCACATTAGCAATTCCTATAGCCTAACCTTCACCTATAGAGAAAAACTTACACGTTTATTGTGTACTTTGCTTGTGCTTTGGAGTGTTCTATTGTTTATCTAGCGCAGTTCGTTACAAAATTCCATCGAACCTAGGCACTGTTATCCCTATTTTACCATTAATTAAACTGAGGCATAAGGAAGCTAGGAAATTTGTCCAAGCCTTGAAACTAATAAGTAGCAAAATTAGAATTCAAAACTATATTATCTGGATTCAGAGTTTATACCCTTAACTGTGAAATTACACACCTCTTTTGGAAGCTACGTTTTCCAGTTGTGGCTGCCATGCTATCAAGATAGAACTTCCTAAATGTTTTTGAAGAGGTATTCATTTTTTCAGACTCTTTTTCCTCTACTCATTTTATTACTGTTTTCATACTATTTTACTTGCTTTTTATATTAATGCTAGTTCTGTTAAGACTTCCTTCTATGAGGGAGGACTCTCAGTTTCCTTGCATCTGTCTTTGCTTTACATATATTGAGAGTAAGTTTAGGTAAAGTAGACAGTGTGTATCATTTAACTAAGGAAATGTCTGTGATACTGTTTTTGGCTAGTATGACTTATTTGCTGTTAGTATGGTTATTTATATCAGAATAGTTTTGATTAGTATCTACCTAGCATATCTTTGGCCCTTGGTTTCATCTATAATTGTAGTCAGAAGTAAAACATTTAGGATATTTTACAACTTTTATTTCCATAAAAGATCAGAGAATACTCAAATTTGTGTGAGCACAGACTATAACTAACACTTTTAAATTTGGATTCTACATCATAACCAGGACATAGCTTACGATGTTTCATTTTAATTTTACCAACAAATTGCAGACATGCTATATAGATCATGTGCTCAGTACTTAAAGTAGTACTTAGCTACAGTAAGATCATTGGGAGAATGTGCAAACCTTTTTAAAATACTCTTTCAATAATTCCTCTGAATTTTATTCTGTATGTATTATTTTTGTCTGAGAAACTCATGCATTTGAAACATAGGAATCAAAAGATCTGCTGCTCATTCTATAATTAAGTAAAATCATGCAGTCCAGTGTTTAGAAATGAAGTGGGTTGGAAGGAACTATTTCAAAGGATAATCATGGGGGGTAGAAATAACTTTTCCTAACATTTCTATTTTAATGCTTTCTCTGGAAAGTCATGAGTGATGAAAATTATATTTTGGATATTGATTTCTAATGTATTGTGTTATTTGCCTGTTTCTGACCTAAGTAGCGCTAACTTTTAAGGCTCATATAGGTAACACGCAGAGGGCTGAAACACAAAGAATTAAATAAAAGAAAGTAATAATAGACAAAGGATATTTGTGCTGGTAATGGTAGCAGGAAAAATTGAAAGTGTTAGTCATGTCCACCTCTTTGCATCTCCATGTACTGTAGCCCACCAGGCTCCTCTGTCCATGAAATTTCCCAGGTAAGAATACTGGAGATGGTTGCCACTTCTTTTTTCAAATGGTAGCAGTGGTAATAACAATTTAGATTCTGAGCCATCCAGGATAATAAAATTTTACCAAGAAGGGCTTCTTTATTACTTTACTCTTAAATGATATGAGTCTAAACTAGATTTTAGTACTGGGAGGAAAAAGTGGAGGTAAGAGGTTCTCCTGGAAAACTGTGCTTTGGTAGAATGGAAAACTAAATGTAATTCAGTAAAATTGTGAACTACCAAGAGTTCAGAAGTATTGTTTGTCAATTAATTATTTAGCCTAAATTTAGACCACCTTTTGGGGAGAGTTTATTGAGAGGTTTTATTTATTATGATGATTTTGTTCAGTTAATTTAAAATTTAAAATTAGATATGCTGACTTAGAATGAACTGAAGATGTATTCCCTTAGCAGTGTTTTGGAAGTGTTGAATTTGTGCATAATTGATTGTATTTTTTGCTGAAGTGAGTGGAAGCTTTTAGTCAAAGCCTTAAAGCTCTTTGTTTTTTTGCATTTATGGAAATATTTTAACCTTCAATTTAAGTTGCTTTCTTAAGTATAAGCTCTTCATGAGGAAGTTGTGGTAGTTTGTGTCCAGAAATTTATTCATTTCATGTAATTTGTGGATTTGTTGGCAAAAAGTATTTTTGAAATTCCATTATCTTCATACTGCATTTCAGTCTTTACTGTTACAACATGTTTCATACTGGTAATTTTAATTTTCCACCCTTTTCTGCTGCTACTCAGCTAGACTAGGGGTTTATGAATTTGTTTGTCTTATCAAATAACCAGCTTTTTTTCTTATTTTCCTTTATGAAGATTGATCTGTGCACTAAAAAAAAAAAATTTGTCCATTTCCTTTCTCTGAATCTAAGTAACTGTTCTCTCCTTCAGGTGGAAGCTTAATTTTTTTTCTGACATAACCATTTAGTATTAATTTTCCTCTGTGTTCTACTTTACTTGGATCCCACAGATGCAAAACAGCTATTTTCATGTTTAATTTTTATAAAATTTTCCCTTTGAAACTTTGATCAGTGAATATTTAGCAGTATTAGATTGAATTCCACATAGTTGGGGTTTTTCCAGGTACTTTTCTTTTACTGGTTTCTCGTTTCATTTCTTTGTAGCCCAAGAAGTTACATTTTTGAGTTTTATTAGTGAATTTTGTTTGTCATGGCCTAGAATTGGATATATTTTGTATGTTTTATATGTACTTAAAAACTATATGTTTACTGCTGCTGGCAGGAATGCATTTGATGGAGAATGGAGGGAACAAAAATGCCCGCCGAACTGAGAAGCATGAAAAATTGTCAGTGGATAAGTTTATATAGGGTAACTTAGAAGGTGGTGCCTGGATCAGATTGAGTAATGATCCGAAACAGTTGCAGCTGCAGGCTGCACTCATGAGGAGATACTGGTACAGCTTTATAGTAAATCTAGAGGGTGGGACTGTGAACTTGGAAACAGGATGTTCATTCCCAGATTGCAATATTTATAAATGGATAACTAACCTGGTGTGTCAACAAAAGAATCTGAAATAGAGTGCTTGAATACAATTACAAAAATGACAAAATGATCTTTGTTCATTTCCAAGGCAAACCATTCAATGTCATGGTAATGCAAGTCTATGTCCCGACCAATAATGATGAAGAAGACCTACAGGACTTTTAGAATTAAAAGGACCCTTAATAGAGGTCCTTTTCATTATAGGGGACTGGGATGCAAAAGTAAGAAGTCAAAAACACCTGGAGTAACAGGCAAATTTGGCCATGGAGTACAGAATGAAACAGGGCAAACGCTAATAGAGTTTTGCCAAGGGAACACTGTGGTCATAGCAAACACTCCCTTGCAGCAACACAAGAGAAGACTCTTACACATGGACATCACCAGATAGTCAATGCTGAAATAAGATTGATTATATTCTTTGCAGGCAAAGATGGAGAAGCTCTATACAGTCAGTAAAAACAGGACTGGGTGGTGACTGTGGCTCAGATCGTGAATTCCTTATTGCCAAATTCAGGTTTAAATTGAAGAAAGTAGGGGAAACTGCTGGACCATTCAGTTATGATGTAAATCCAATCCCTGGTGATTATACAGCTGGTTTTAGAAAAGGCAGAGGAACCAGAGCTCAAATTGACAACATCTGCTAGGTCATTGAAAAAGCCAGAGAGTTCCTAAAAAACATCTGTTTCTGCTTTATTGGACTGTGCCAAAGACTTTGTGTGGATCACAGTAAACTGTAGAAAATTCTGAAAGACTTAGGAATACCAGACCACCTGACCTGCATCTTGAGAAATCTTTTGGCCGGTCAGGAAGTAACAGTTAGAACTGGACATAGAATAACAGACTGGTTCCACACAGGAAAAGGAGTATGTCAAGGCTTATATTGTCAGCCAGGTTATTCAACTTATATGCAGAGTACAT